ATGAATGACTGATGAACATTGAATGTGAATATAAATGTTGAATAATGCACGATGAATAATTTTTAATAATTATTGATTATCTGAACTGAACATTATGTGCATGATATCAAATGATTTGATTATGAATTTAGATTCAGTTTATATGGATGTTCGATGCATTAGATATGCTTACTCAGCTTCAACGCTGAGCGTGTAGTATGTTTTATTTGCTACACGCAGGTTAATGAAGTGACGTGATCTTGGAGGCAGACGGAGGCGAGATTGTCGGAATGGATGTGATGGTTTTGAATTAAAGAACATAAATAAATTATGTTTGTGATTATGATTGTTAAGCTTCCGCAATATGGAAAACTCCGTACTGTTTATATTATGAAAAATATTATTGTGATAAATAAAAGTGTTTGAAATGTTTTAAATTTTTACGATTACCAAGTTAATACTTTAATCTGAAAGGGGCTGCAGACCTGGACAGATTAGGGTGTTACAGTTTGGTATCGGAGCAAATGGTTTTAAAACCGATCTTCGGATCAGAAAATTGAAATAAAAAAAAAATATTGTCAATCACATTCACGACTCTCGCGTCCCTCTGCTCCAGGAAAAAGGTATGAGAATTTACTTAGTAAATAATGACTCTATTAGAATTCTCATTAAATATCAATTGATTAGTACTGAAACCGTATCGAGCGTAGACTCTAGTTGAACTTTTGTACTCGGTGAAGAGACGAAAGAATAAACGATATGTTTATAATCTCCTGATACATTATCAACGTACATTTCGCATCGCAAATGACGAAACTGATCTGGATCACAAAATTGTACGAAAGTGAGACGACTATGATGAAACGATAAATGTTGAGAAACATCTGTGAAGCTGATGTCAAAGATCCTCACATGGACTCAAGACGATCTAATCGCTGATTCAAACATGAACGTTTAGAATCAATAAACTCTGTTATCTAAAGTATCTGATACTATTGTTTGACTCGTTAGGACACATTATGCGATTACTTAAATCGAAATCATTCGTTAAGCAACAATTCTTTGTAAAACATCGTTGAAGTACCATACAAGGAAATCGAAATTATCCTTAGTATGCATTAACGGACTGAACGTCGTTGCTGTTATCAACTTATGATGAAGAATTCCTCAACTGAAGACCAATGATGGTAACCTTATAGAGGTGAAAGCAAAGCTGATTTCTAAACCGACCAAGTTCATCTCGAATATATATGCTGAAACATCTCAAGTGTGAAGTCTATTCGTGCGATACCCAAAAAGGAAAGAAGCCTTTGACTGGAGCTTGTAGTGTCCCGCCCTCAAAAAGAAGAAAACCTTTGTTAACTCAACACAAATTGAGAGTGTGGAAACATCCAAAGTGTAACACTTGTAGAAGACATCACCTAGGAGAATGTTGGATGACACAAGGATTATGTATAGGTTTTGGTAAATCTGGGCATTTTCGAAAGGAATGTCCTACAAACCCTTGGAAAACCAATGCCGATGGCCCTGTTCAAAGACAGTCTACCTCAGCCCAGCTTGCACCAGCAGGAAATAACCCACAAACAAAATCATGCACGTGCGTATGCAGTGAAAGACCGCGTTGAAGAAAACTCTGGCGTCATCATTAATATATTTCCTTATTCAATAATTTATATCCATGTACTGATCCGGGATTTGCACTATCTAATATCCATATAATTCCATGTTGAATAAACCTCCGTTGAGATTGAAAACTCAAGGATTCCTTAATAAAGAATCATTTGATCAAGTGTTTTCTCTTTACCTATTCTGTTCATACGCGAATAAAGAAAGATCGATGAGACTCTTTATCAACTACCGTGAGTTGAACAATTCATTATCTTACCTCGTATCGATGACTTATTTGATCAGCTTAGAGGATCCATTGTATTCTCTAAGATTGACTTACGGTCA